ACAAAGTAAATGAAACACTGAACTTATATAATTTATAGAATTTGATTTCCACACATTTTCCACATTTTGTAACTCAGTTGGAATATTTATAACAACACTCTAACATTGTATGGACTCAGTATTGACAATACAAATATCAGGCCTCACACCTGAAGAAGGCTCCAAGGCCGAAACGTTGTGTTCTCTTTCTTCTTTTTTCAGCATGGAATAAACCTATTACTTGTTCCTTTGCAAATATCATAAGCTCTTTTAGTGTCTTTTAAATAAAATTAACTTGTCATACAGTTTGTGGTTACCATGTGAGAATTTGTTTCACATCTGGCAAGAATTTAAAATATGCATACAACATCTAGATGAAAATGACAATATTTCTCACACTTTCAAAGACCTTCAAAGACCTCTTTGCATTAAAATAATATTTTGATTTAATATTTAATAGAATATCCAAACTATTCTGTGCAGTATAAAGGTAATATTCCTAAAAAAGAATAACCCTGAGAAAATGTACACTACATGTACAGTACTTTCTAAGTTCTAAAAGTTCTCTAATATTGGAGCTTTCCAAGAAATCTCAACTAATTCAAAGTTAAAAAATCTTTCTTAACTCTTGTGCCCTCTAGCTGCTCAGAGCAACAAATACTGGATGCATATTTTAATACTATTTTTCAAGTATTTATTTTTATGAATTCACACTGTTGTCTAAAGTTTGGGTAATTAAATAAGGGAGCATTTCCTTTGCATTGCCTTAACATCATTTACTGTATACATCCAATAAAATAGGAACTGCAACACAAGAGACTATAAAGGGTATTTCTACTACTTAAATACGCAGAATTACTGATTTCTAAATACTGTATGGGCTTGTGACAGACCTGAGATCATACAGATTTGGAGATTTAAAGACACACTATTGCCGTTTATTGTTTGTTTAATATTGTCGTGGGTTTGTTTTGTTTTCAGAAAAAACTTAGATATTGCAGTGCTTATTTTTTAGGAAGAGTATTTGGTATGTCAATTTATCATCATGGCTCCTCAAACTTTATTCAACGAAAACAGTAATGAGGCAGCATGACAACTGTATAAGCAAGTGACTCATTCTTTTGATAATACTGTAATCAAAGTAAGGCAAATCAGAGACTCCTCCCAGCAGAGACTTCCAAAAATCTTACCAACCTTTTTCTACCATATTAACTCGTGTTCGTGACATGGCCAGTTTAGGTACGTCATTCGTGCATGTTACTCACAACAACCACTTTTGCTACTGCCTTATCTGACCTATATAAGGTCATAAAAGGATCCTTTATGGTAGCAGTTACAGGGTAATCATTGATGATTCATGATCGGAGCGTACTGAAGCACAGCCCAAAATAAACTCCAATCTTTTGTTAAAAATGTCTAATACTCATATTTTTATGAAACATTAACACTGAATTAAAGCTCTCTCTTTCCACCTCAGAAACCATCCACTAAAACACAAACACCAGCAGCTCTTGCAAACACAGTATCTTATTCAAACTAAAATTTATCATATTCTATTTACTATTACATGAAATTTAATTTTTTGTCTTATTAGTAAAATGGCGGAATAAGATAAGATAAAGATTTGTATTGTCCCCTGAGGGATTTTATTTTATGGACACCCAGCACTCATGTACATTTAAACTGATTAAAAAAGAGAAGAAAAGAAAAACATTGCACATTATTCTATTGCACATGCACAGCATAACACATAACATCATGTAACATTTATAACATAAGACAAAACATACAGTATTGCACTCAAGTGGGTTGTAAGAGTCAAAACTGTGTTCATCCTTGACATTTGCGTTGACAGCTTTAATGGATAGTGGAACAGAGGAGCGTTTGTATCTGTTTGACTTACATTTGGGAACCCTAAAACGTTTGCCAGAAGGAAGAAGTTGATATTCAGAGTTAAGGATGTGAGAAGGATCTGACAGAATTTTTCCTGCCTGTTTGATTGTTAATTTTTCCATGTTTGTCTGCAGGGAGAGGTGCTGTTTCACTCCCATGACCTTCAAAACTGTCTGGATGAAGCAGGTAACTTGCGATTCAAAAAGAACTGATAGATTACCAAACCACACTGAAATACCATATCTGACAATGCTCTCGATTACAGCACGGTAAAAGAGTAGCATTACTTCCTGTCGAACCCCAAACACTCTTAGTCTTAAATATACTTGCTGAACTTTGGAGCAAACACTCTCAACATGAGTAGACCAGCACAGGTTACAGTCTATGTGTACACCTAAGTACTTACACATGTATGAATCAACCTGAGTATTAAGTTTGTTGTGCATTACTACCTGTGAGTGATCACCAACTGCTCTGGGATCTAAAATTTCTTTTGTTTTTTTTGCATACAAAATTAGGCTATTGTTGTCACACCATTGCACAAACCTTTGGATTTCTGACATGTATACAGATGAGCTGCTACCTCTATGCATTAAGCCAAGAACAGTTGTATAATCTGAGAATTTGAAAATGAAGTTGCTTTGATCATTGCTATCCCTCAGGGGCACCTGTGCTAATGGATCGTGACTCAGAAAGAGTCCCTGACATACTGTGTGCGATTTGATAAAAATTAATAGTACCATCTTATAATGTTATGGTAGCGTTTATGGTACTGTATATAGAACTTGAATAATTCAAGCAAACCAAACTGATAATGCATGTGTATGTTTATAGGCATGTGTATGTTGAATGTAGAGAAAGTAAGCATTTTTATGAAAAAATGTGTATCAACATTTACTGTATCTGAAGGCGCTGGAATATCAGGTAACTTTAAAAATCACACAATAATAAACAGGTCTTTCAGCAACAATGACACAATAATATGATTTTTGTGAGAAGGTAACTTTGATACAATTACCTATTTTGGTGTTTACGTTGCAAACTTGGTTAAATGCATTTCCATTGCTACAAATGTAAACAACATGTTTTTAGCTATTATAAACTGCAATTACTGTATGACAGGCCAAAAATTATACATGCATTCTGTTACAAAGTCTTTTACGTATCAGGAGTGAAGAAATTCTATTCTCCTGGAAGTGTTGCTGTTTCCAAAGGTTTCACAAAGCTCTACTTTGCTTTTATGACTCACACTCTTTCAACTTAAGGCCTAAACCAAAGCTATACTGTGCGTGTATAAGTACCACTACTACTCAAAACTTACTACTACGATTTAACATGAGTACAACAACACTTTTTTTTGTTTCTCTTTCAAGTCTGATACGTGAAACAATATTTTGCTTGACTTGCGAAGCTTATTTCACTGTCAATTTGTCTTTAAAAAGAGTGTGGCACTCCATCTAGCGGCCATGCGCTGGTGATTTATTTAAAAATTTCAGAATGTATGCGTCTTTTAAGAGTTATGTAAAAGATGTAACCGATTAAAAAATCGGTTTTTAGAAAATATGTTCTTTTGTATTTCTTCTCAGCACTGTTTACATTATGACTATTGTGGGAAAATAACATATTCTCTGCCAAATTCAATATTTACAAACAATTATTGGCATTCAATTGGTTTTAACAAGTTCAATTTTGGAAGAAATTTTACTTTGGCTCTATTGCAAACAAAATATGCCGAAGGGCTAAATACACTATATTTATTACAATCACGAAATGTGTTTGTGTATTTGAACGGCGCAGCCGGGGAGGTTAGGGGTAGAGTCGGTGTTCGGTTCCTCCTGTTTCTGACATCACGTGTCTAGTGAATATCCACGAGTTAAAGGCAGCCCATGATAGTGAATGAAGCACTGTCAGTATGTTGTACTGGGAGCGCTTCAACTGATGTAGGAGTATTTGAATCAACTCCCAGAAAGACCGCACAAAACTTCAACCTTCAACAAATTCACCTTGTTAAAGAAATTAAACAAAAACTTTAGCCTACCCATTACTCTTTCAGCTTTACCTTCTTTGTGGACTGTTTCGTACTAGATTGAGAAAATAAATTGCTACAGTACATCGTTTGAACTACACCGATCCGTTAAGTACTGACTGTATAGGAGGGAGCAATTTCGCATACGTGGATTTTAAACGGTCTTTTGAACATGTACTGTAGATGAATGACTGGTTTAATCCAGTAGAGGACTTTGAACATTAGACTATTGATGAACTGTAGCCTTATCACGGAAAATATTTAAATACTACATCGTTTCACACATAAGGTAAGATTAAACGTGAGTTTCCGCTTTCTAGCTATTTTTTAGTTTGAGAAAATGTCATTTAAGTTTAGAGCATGGCCATTTAGAAGCACAGTGTTTAATCTGATATCTTCAAGTAGACGGTTTTATATTTTTCTACTTTTTAATTTCACTGTGAAGGCGATTTACCTTTTAATACCTAGAACGGTATCTCAAATATTTACTATTAAGACGTTCGATTATTATATTTTCCCATAATACATTGGAAGTACAGTGTTAACACAATTTTCTCATATGTAATTAAATACAAATATGTCGCGACTTCCAAGACGATTCATGAATGTGAAGTAACCACTCCAACTCTTTGTGGTCCGTGTACATTAATTTGTAGAAATACTGTATATACAGTAAAAACCCTGCTTGATGTGATTTCAGAGGTACTGCAGCTAGCCAACGTGCTCACATAGCATTTTTTTTCTTGTCCATGGTAGCAATGAGCTGTTCCTGGACAAGGAGTAAACCTTGACTTCGGAAATAACATTTCCAATGTTCCAGATATCCAATTTAACTGACCATAGTGATGACTATGCAATGCAAAGCCTCAACGTAAAAACGTATTATTAAAATACCATTTTAATACATATTGTAATTACCAGATATTGTGAAATGTTCATATGTATACAGTATTTATTTATTTTTATTTAAAATAACTACAGTAGTTCTGCTACTTCTCCAAATTGTGAAATCGAAAAATAAATATTTATTTTGGGGTTTTATGAAGACCTTTCGCTTAATATTGCGTTTATGTGCAAGGGCAAAATGTTTCAGCTAACTAAAATCTTGGATATTTTATTTCTTCCCTAAGGAGAGTCTTCTGTTACTGGAGGTTTCTGATTATAATGTTTTTATAAAACTCTTAAAGATAGAGACCCTTTCCTGTCCTTAAATGCCTTTCATCCCCAGCAAATTCAGGACAACAATTTGAATATGAAGTCATGTGATGTGCAATTCACTCTAACATTATCGGCGCGAACTTCTTAGTAATATTATTCACATACCTGTAGGCTGTTTAGCTTCTCCGTCACAAGCCTTCTTTGAAATGCAATTTTAGAGACACAGTACAATTGTATAATTGCACTTGTCCTGAAGGGATGTTCCCTGTAGAATTTCGAAACGTGCTGACTGGCCCTGGTAATGTCGTGTAAATAAGTACAGTTTTACATTTTTTTATTCATGCCAGAACTGATGGATTGATTCCCCCCTTGAAATAATGGGACCTGAGACTACCCGAGAGATCGATCTGGCTAAACTGGCTAGTGTTCTGCTGATTTGCTAACAGCTACAGACTTCGAACAACTTTTCCAAACAACATCTCGGGTGTTTAGTTTAATACGCCAGGAAGCCTTATCTCCGCGCTGTCTGCATCACCAGCCTTATGTCAGAGAGGATCAGCACCTCGGAATGAACAGTTCTTTTTTGCTGGGAATTAGTCGTTCGCGCAAGGTTTTAAAAACTAAAACTCTCACGGTTTAAGTTGAGTGTTATACCACCACTAGTTCCTAAAACTGAAAGATTTATGTCTCTTGATTATTCTGGCAGATCTTAATGTCGCCGGATCATAACCTGTAATAGAGAAAAGGGTAAACTGAAATTGGATTGGTGTCAAATCGTTCTCGCAATGAGTAGGAAAGAAGAGGTTCACTCTTGCACCGAGGTCCAGAAGAATGATTTTCCAGAAAACACGATTTCCAGATAACCGTACCACAGCAGATATGGCATAACTTTAGAAAAAATACCTTCGATTTTCAACTGAGGAAGACGCTGAAATTTCTTTGCATTCGGGAAAAATGGAAAGCAATTTCAAGAAAATGTTCTCCGTGAGGACCACGCTGTTCTGTTGTTTCATCTTATGTAAGTCATGTAAGTGAATATTTCTAATCACTAACATCTTCATTTTTCTCATTACTGCATGTTCGATGCACAATGATACATTATGACTGGTTACTTGGCTGCAAACAATCACATACTGTATACAGTAGAATGGAAAGTTGTGTTTTTAATTCCTGCCGTTTAAGTCGCCATATTCTGTTTAGTCCTCAAATTCCTATCAGCGTTGTACTTCTGAAAGAGTTTAAAGATTAACAACTGTTGCTTTTTGTTTTAATGTTTTGGCACGTCTGTAAAGTTAACAGTAATTTATTTTCTACTGCGATTTTTTAACAATAGTTTACATATAATTAGAAAGAACCCAATTGCAGTGTCTAGTTTGGGGTACAGGGTAGCAAAGCTAGCAGTGCTTCCCAGGACTTTAGCTGAAGTATAACCCAGAGAGAAAATAAATAATTCAGGTAGCAGTCACGGCATTTGAACACAGGAGCACATATTCAGAATCCTACTCCCACAAGAGAGCTCATGCAGGAGATCTCCATTTTAAAACCTCCCTAGTGCTGGAAGAAGATGATGGAGTTTTTTCTTGTGGGAGCCACTTGCCAAAACCCAAACCACAAGAGATTTTGCCTTTACGTTCATAAGGATGTACTCTCACACCATCCAGTGCAGTTTGTGACCCACACGCTGTAACACCCCTAGACCTAGAATTTCAGTGCCTCAAATGTGCAGACCTGAGTACATGATTACTACAAACTGTTAAAGCCACAGCACTGTAGGTGTATTAATTTCTACAAAACTAAAAAATAACAAAGAAAACTCTACGTCAGCATAAGTCATATTTATCTTCTAACAAAAGTATTTTAAATAATCCTTAATAATTGAACAGTACTTGCAAGGTTGAATTTGGTGCTGCTCTTACATACTGTATGGAAGAATAGAAAAATTGAAATAAACTAAACTTTCTCAGTAATTCAGATAACTGAACAGTAAACCTAAAAATGTAGGATCCTGGTAATTAGTGGACGAACTTGGGTTGATTCATTTTGAGTACCGTGCTCAGAAATGTTGCTCAGCTACTTTTGCATAACCAGTAAGTTAGGTCACATTGGTTCATTTTCATACAACATGCTGACAGAGTTTCCTTTTTAGTCAGAAATTGTAATGCAAAGATCAGTCCCAAAATACCTCACAAGCGCAAGAAAGCTTTTAGCTGAAGTACGATCCAGAGCTTTCACCTGTCCAGAAACACAACAGATTTATGCTGCACTGTATTTAATTCCTGAGCCACACATATGCTAAGAATCAATAAAGAGACTTTGGATCTTAGGGTTTCAGACATCCTTGCTTCATTAGCTATCAAAAATAAAATACTAATGCTCCTTTATAAGTATCTAAATCACTGTGGGTTTTAATTTTAATCCTTATTTTTTTATAATATGGCAATATTTTTATACAATATTTGATATAATTATAAATTGTATATACAGTCATTTTTATAAAAATGGTGTTTTGCATATGCAGTACATTCAGTAATACTATATTTATGAAGCTAGCAGTTTACTAGATTGTGCCTCTCTAGCTTTAAACAAGTAATATTTTTGTAGAGTAGATGTACTGTAGAGTGAACTGAGTGTGGCAGAAATTGCACCCCCTGCCTTCTGCAGTGGGGTAGATTACTAGGCTCATTTTGGCTGCAATGGGAGGTAATCCTACATCCTAATTCTGTGGGAATATACTGTAGGAGCAAAAGCGCACAGTACATTACTACCATTGCCTCTATCAGTGGCTGGTGCTTATGCTGCTCACATATTTTCATGGATGGCTTCTGAATGGTGTTAAAACCCAATGCAGCCTCTAAGACGTTTTCATTTTCTGTTTCATCGTGTTTGTGTCCAAGATGGACAGGTTTAAATTCTTTTTAAATTTAGGTTTAAATTCAGTTCTTTTTCAATTCAGGTTTAAATGCGCAAGTTTAAATTCTTCTAAGGGTCACATCAGCAGCAGCAGTAGTAACCTCCTGTCTTTGTTCGTTGATTGAAATGCGCCGTCCATTGAGATGGCAGTTTATCTCACTCTGCATTTTCATTAGTGGCCGAGAAGTCCTGTTTTTTTGAGTGATAGAGCCCATTGCGCATGCTGCATACATAAACTGATACTGTATGTTTGCTCTGCTAATGCACACCAACCCAGAGGATTGGGAGTCCTGCTAGTCTCTTGAATTCAGTTGCTTCCCCATATACTGTAGCATGTCATTGGAGAAAAATCCATTCTGTACATTATGCACATACTCTAACTTGTGGATTAGAGAATCACAGAGAATCAATTAGATTCTAGGTAATCGACAACATGGGTTTAGAAAAGGTGGGTCTTTTCTAATTAGCTTTGTGCTTTGAACAAGAAATAACAGTAATAGATATAGATAGAGCATATGATATGATGTATTTTGATTTTCAGATGGCTTTTGATTTGATTACTCAAAATACAGGGGGTAAGCGTTCAGGGAACTGTACAGTATGTGTTTGGATTGGGAATTGGATAATGAATAGAAAAGGGTACAAATAAGCAAATAATGCTCAAAATGGGGGGATACCTTTATTGGAGTACCACAGGGATCTGCATTAGGACCATTAGTCTTCCTTATTAATATCAATGATTTAGATTTTGTTATGCTTCGTTAACTAGTTAGAGTTGCTGATGAAATAAAAAAAAAGAAGCAGCAAATAACATTTTAAAAGATTTAGATAAAATTAAAAGCTAAGTAAACACCAAACAGAATACATTTAATGTGCTTTAGAGAAGTGCAGGGTTATACATGCACACAGCTAACAATATCAACTTTAAACACAAATGGAAACTAGAAGACACTACTTATAAAAAGTCTTGGACATTTATGTTGACTCATAATTTTTTTAACAAGAAAAGGATTAAGAAATATATTTTTTATTACAAAGAATTATAATGTAATAAAAAATCACAAAAGTCAAGTGTTGATTGCCCCATTGGGTTTGCTGGAGGAGTACTTATGCTTATTGATGCATAATACAGGAACTGTAGTGGTAAATTGTATTAACTAGAAATCAGCAGTTGGTTGTGCATAAAATAAAAACTAAACATTTCTAAAAGACAACATTCTTCATTGGGGTGTCAAGAATTATGTATATACTGTATGAAAAAAATGTGAAGTATTTATTTCGTATTTACTGTATATTACATAGTATTTTGAGAAAGAATTCAGTATTTTGTACGGAACATGTGATGAATCTCCTGGCTAGTAATAATAATGTGAGCTTTATTATTATATAAAAAATACTAATTGTCTTCAACCAATGTGAATACTATACTTTTACATGCATTTTATATCAAGGTGGTGTGGTTATAATGCAATCAGTCTTTTTAATTTTATCCTGGCCGTATATCCCACATGTATTTGTACTTGTAGGCAATCATGGGCAAACTTTGGGGTCCTTTAAGAATGCATTTATATGGGGGATGTTTGTTTGGAAAAACTTTTTAAAAAGCAGATTTACCAAAGAGAATGTTTATTATTTTCTAAAATAAACACATAAAAGCATGTACAAAAATGATATAGTAATCAGGTTAAAGGCTTCAAGTCTCACTCACCTTTTTCCATTAACTATGCTAAACTAGACATCATTAAAGAGGTTTTTCATTGATTTTCTTTCACCATCTTCTCAGGGTCTCAGAACCACTTAAACTGAAAATTCTGTTTTGCTGAGTGTGCCTGTGTGCCACTCTTTTTCTGTGCTCATAATATACCTTTGATTAAATACTTGTGTTCTTATCATGCCTATTGTGTCAGTTACCATCTGTTAATTCTATCCCAATACATTCCATCCTCATAAGGAAATGCATAACTATGACATGTACAGAGAAATTGGAGTGATGCATTTTTTTTCCATTCCGTCTGCAGTGTTCTGCCATGAGAATACTCACTCCCATGCTGAAGAAGATCTCTTCAAAAAACTGTTTATTGGCTACAACAGGTGGTCTAGGCCAGTGCCAAATATTTCTGACGTTGTCATTGTCAAGTTCGGTCTCTCCATTGCACAGCTGATTGATGTGGTGAGTGTATCCAGAATAGATCTACTGTTCTAATGCCAGCATGTTTTACAAGGCAACATGAAGGTCTGTGTAATAAATGAATAAATGTCACCCTTCAGAGTCAAGTCAACTATACAAGTTTGAGTTTCTAAAACCTGGCTCCAAACTACAATCGTTTTTTACAATCATTCTAAAAAGTTTTTTAAAAAAAGGTTGATCTAGAGGCTTGCTCTAAAATGAAGAAGTGATGACTCATGCAGAATTAGCTTGCTGCTTCTTAACAACCTACGACATAACAAGAACTGATATTACAAAAATACAGGGAAAAGGGATGACACAAATTACCAAAAAATACTGAGACAATTTTCAATACATTATCCACGATCAATCATTTCCTACAGCATGTTTCTGATTTGGTTACATAAAGTTTGCAGTAAAGAAAAATAATATATTTAGTTAATAAAGAACTTTTCCTAAGATATTGTGTGGTTCTGAGAGAAACTAAACACCCTGCCACAAGAAGCTACAGTATGCTGTGTTTTTGATGTGCTGACAAGCACCATAATTTACAGTAATGTCTAAAACATCTCATATACTGTAATCTTAATCTAACACAGCATTCAATACAAGCAGAGAATATGCAAGGAAGAATCCTGGAAAACAAAACATAGTCCTGGCAGGCAAACTTAAACCTGGACCGATACAGAATTTTGTAATTAACCCCATGGCCTGGCAATTGGGAAATTAGAGTTTAGATTTTCCTGGCTGCTTTGTATAGCTGACATACAGTTGGTCTTTTCCATCTACAGTACATTATGTCCACAATTGGTCTAATTAGCCAAACAAAATCAGCAGCTCAAGTCTCTTCCCATTTTTCAACAGGACGAGAAGAATCAGATGATGACAACAAATGTTTGGCTCAAACAGGTAACGTGTCAGGATTTTTCTCGTTCATTTTACTTCTCGGTAACAAAAGGCTTGAGGTGCTTTTAAAAGTCATCTCTCAAAATGATTTGGAGCTAGTCAGCATTGATGTACAGTACAACGGACATATTTCATAACCTTCCGTACAAAAACCTGTTATTTACCCACAAGGTAATATTTAATGTATAATTAATATGTCTATTAACTCAAACATGGAGCATTTCCTATGCTTACATTTGCAAAAGGTGAAGTACAGTATATATTACAACAGCTACTGTACTGCTGTAAGGGCCTGACTATTACAGTATGTTAAACGTATAATGGCTTTATACTTTATATTCTCCCATTTCACTAAAAACCCTGCAAGCAGATACTGTGGACACTGGTTCTGTAAAGGGAACTATTAAAACTCACAAGTCTAGCAAGGAGAAAGTATAGACTTTGAGACAGTTATTGAAACAAAATAATGTGATAAATGTAGTAAAGGTAACGCAACAAATTAGTTAATAAAAATAAAACATAAAGCAAATGCAGATACTAAAAATTACTGTAATTCCCAGGCTGTGACATATACCATTCTTTCATATCCGATGGTTTTGAGTCTATGTTTTTTTTTAACTAAATGCAGATTTAACGATTTAGATTGTTTTATGTGATCATTATTGGGTGGCACTGTTGAAAATTGGTTAGCATTGCTGCCTTGCAGTGCTGAAGCCCTGAGTTTAATTTGGGACCTGCGCTGCTATCTGCATGGAGTTTGTATGATCATATGAGTTTCCTTTGGTTTCCACCCGGAGTCCAAAGACATACTCTGTTACGCTTTTCTCAAGAATTCCCAGTAAAGTGGGCAGAAACGCTTTGTGATTATTACACTTTTTCTCTTGACGTGAAATGTTGAAATGTTGTGGCAAAAAGTCTTACCTCTCAGTCTCATGTTGTAATCACTCCTAGGAGTGGAATGACTACAAGCTACGATGGAAACCTTCTGATTACGACAACGTCACATCAATTCGAGTCCCATCTGAAATGATCTGGGTTCCGGACATCGTGCTGTATAACAAGTAAGTGGCAGGTGTTCCTGAAATAAATGGATCTGATCAGTGTCTAAGGGTTGTAAAATCTGGAATAGGAAGAACACATAGATAACAGGTGTTCCGTGGAGACAGTACCAAAGTAAGCAGTCACTGTCTACACTTCTTCAAGTATATCATTACTGTTTGTAAACTGAAATGCAGTGCATACTGGTTGAGAAACATGAAACTTCAGAGCTAGATACAGTAGTTTGCTCCACAGTGCTGAGTAAAGGTTAACTGTATAAATGTACTTTGCTCCATATTCTTGTATATTTTAGACCTAAAATATGTTTAGATCTTAATAAAAGATTAAGATTCCCTGATTAAATGTATAATGCCGAGGATAAGTTGGGTTATTTAACAAAGTAATCCATCACTTCATATCCTTGTGTGAATAGGTTAACCCTTAGCTTCAGTACCTCCTTGAAAAGCAATTACTTTAATTAGATGCTTCTTATAACATCAGTATTTGTCAATTTTGACACATT